ATACAGGCGCATAGCAACTGCGTGGCAACGACATACTTCAACACCTGGCCAGTCGAGCTGTGATGCACGTGGGAGCTGCCAACCGTGATAGACATGTAGCGACCTCGCAACTACATCCTATAAATACTGCAACACCTGGACAATCAACTACCCTTATCTGACTCTGTCTCTGAGTTAGAATCCGAAATGTCAGGCTAATAAAGCACTTGTTCCAGCGATCGTGTCTCCTCCGTATATCGCCTCTTTCTCCCTACGCAGCTATTAGGTTGGGCCTTATCCACGCCTACAGTCATTCTAAGTAGCCATCTTGTGAAGAAAACTTCAGTCAATGACGTCTGAAGAGTATGAAGTAGGTATTTCTGTTACACCAAAGACTACTTCGCTCCCCACAGGGATGGTAATTCTGTCGACCATTATGAACGACTTTTACACTATTTTATGTGGCGTCCTGAAAGAACACCAATATCTACGACTGGAATGGAGCTCCAACAGCCTCTCCACAACTACCGGATGCCACAAATAAAGTTCCGATTCAGTAAAGACGGAAACTTACAGTGACCCTGGAAACATCAGTCGAGGATCAAACAGAACTCGCCTGAAGAGGTTGTCAATTGTCTCTGTACCGATCTGGGACATTAGACTTCCGATCTGTTTCACGAAAGTCATTAAGATAACTGACAAGAAGGCTACTCAGGCCCCTACCCAAATATGGTGTTTTATAAAATTATACTCCATGGCATTCATGCCATATCAGATCCACCAAGGCCCAGTTCCACTTCATGCCAACATTAAAAAGTTAAACGGTTGGGAATTTTCATTCGTTTAAAAAGTCTTCGCCTCCTTCCATGTTCGATTACATAAAACCGAGGGAGTTTAATGGCGGGGCACTCATAAGGACCGGAGACGAACGGCAAACCGCCATAATCGGCCGATATTTCGCACGAAAAAGGAAGAAAAAGAAGTCAAAATGCTAGATGGTCAACTTTTATACAGGGAAATAGTCGTATGTACAAGCAAAAAAGACAAATCTGGGAGTGACTTTTCTGCATAGATGACAACTTAGTCTGGCCCTAGCCCCAAAAATCATCCATAAGACATCCGAACCCGCCGGGGAACTTGCCAGTTTTTAAACCTTCTTCTATACAGGTTATAAGCGCGAGTTCGGGAGCAGAATAGGCGAGGACTTCCGAATTGTCGATAACTTTTGTGATTGTCTTCAGGAGGCGGTCAGTTTGTCGTCCATAGAGGCGACGCAGTGTGAATCCCCCAACCTCAATCAAACCCAAGAGGACCTAGGTTAGGAGGCAGAGAACGAAAAAACACACGATAAGTCAAAAATGGGCGCAAATGAAGGGAAATCTTAATATTGGAATTTTGCTTGAAGAAGTCATTGCGTCTTATACGAAATTAAAACGTCACAACTGTCGTGGCCACGTTATACGGCTATATGTGGGCAGGAGTTCGATTGTTGGAGCTGCAACCTGCCGGAGCTTATTACAACGTGGTTCTTAGTGTCAAAAAGCCCTTGCAAATAAACAACTGCAGAGCATAGCACGCGGTTGGTAAACGTGTGTTCTGCCTGACAGTAAATTACCCTTGACCGTATTCGATACTGGATCAATGGTGGTTGATCTAGTTGCTGTTTAATGGCACCTCGCATCATGCTCTCCCTTGCGTGGCGATATCCAGTGGCGAGCAGAGCATATGGATCCGCGCTCTGTTTCAGCCATGAATTGCCAAGTTTGGAGGACTGTCGAGTCGCGTCTGGGAGTGGGCAAGTCTGCTTGGCCTTCGAAGAGGAAGCGGTGTTGGATTTAGGACATCAACACTAAATCCATGGGGCGTAGGATTAGGACTGTGTTTGGTCCCTTCAGGATTTACGTCTGAACGGCCCGCGATATTTTCGCAATCTAGTCCAAAGGGCCCAGATGGTCAGACCTGAGGTAAATTCTGGGTATCTTGCTCAAAACATGGGTCTCAAGAAACGGCACTCAAGAACGCCCAGTCCAGCAGGTCTAGGCATAGAGGGGGCGGGTTAGACATATGTTCAACACAAAAAATATTCTTCCTTTTACTCATTTGGTAGTAAATTACGTCTGCCCCAAATCTTGCACTTGAGGGAAGAGTATCATTCGGTTTTAAAAACTTTAAATTCCCGAATAATTTTGTGCCCGACCTGCAGTTACGCGTGCATTCAGGGTCTCCAAGCTACAAGCGGTATACTTTCCGTGTAAGGAAAACCACACATTTCTATATGCTATTATGAATGGGGCGTATAGGCCCCGTAAAAGTTTGCAATGAATATGGACCATGTTCTCTACTTTATAAGCGACATTAGTAAACACGCTGATGCGCTGCTGTATGATTGGAGATTTCACGGTCTTAAAGAATTTCACAATTCGAAAATTTGTAAAGCCGGGAGATAATCTTTCTCCAAACCACGACTTTTAGCGCGTTTGGATACCTTCAAAGCGTATCAGACCATAGTGAGGAGTACGCTGACGTGTCGTGGGGACGCAGTCGAGAGAGGCGACCTCGCTCTTGCCTCCCTTTCTCAGACACCAGTACACTGTCCGAGCCGGTCGGTGTTGGGTGCGCGTGACTGCCAGAGTTAAACAGCGCCGCACTGTGTGTATGTGTGCCACACACGACTCGGTTTCCCTACACACATAACCACTTTGTTGTAAATGTGAGCTACAGTGCTGGGAGGGCGAGTTACCAAATGGGTGAATAATGCTACGAATAATGCAGAGAAAGTACAAAAGTGGTAGGTCGGACACGGATATGTGTACCCATAACCCCTGCCCCCGTCCCCTAAACTATGAAACAAGGTCATCCGTAATATGGGGATAGAGGTAATAGGAGCCTTCTAGGAGATGAAACGTGGCTTACTTAAATATGCAAAAAGGAACAAATCCTATTTGGCCGGAAAGCTTGTTTTAATGCATTAAAAAGGCACTTTGTAGGAAGATAGTGCAGGGAGGACACATATTCTTGATCTACCAAGTAGTCAATAGGAAATTTGTTTCAACAGTCGAAAATTAAGTCTGGTCTGTCTACTGGCCGTGCATTGCGTAGCCTGATAACGGATGCCACCGTCGAGTTAACAACGCCAAATATTGTCCGAGCTGGCGCAAGGTACAGAAAAGTGGGTGAAGTTGTGCCGACCAGAAGCGTCGGTCAGACCTATATGACTTCTGTGTAGCAGCGACTACACAATACCTTGTTTAGCCAATGACCAACGCGTCTCTCCTTCAAGTGTCAAGATAGGGGCAAAGGACTACCCTGTCCTTTTTAGTTTCCTCGAAAATTAGTGTACGAACTTGGAATAAATCCTCCGGGAACAAAAAGAGGATATGTATACTTGGGCTGAAATCCATCAACTACTGCGGAATAATCGTGTAATACTCACAAGCTGCCAACAGACCGTCAGTAATAAACAAATACCGACTAATTCACCACGCTGGCAGCACAGGTACTAGCTAAAAGTCCAGACACGCGTATTTCGCCGATTTTGCGCGGGGTTCAACTCGTTACATCATCTTATCACATAAGACGATAATACTCATTTGCGGAAATGTGCCCAGATGGGTTTTTTAGGTGTCATGATTCGAGGATTTTCACGGTTGCTAACTAATGTCATATTATTACTTGTGGGGCTTCTGCGATCCCCAGTGTCCTAGACACCACTAACTACTGGGTTAGGATGCTGTCTTTTTACTTTGAAACAAACTAAGCGGGAATCTGCGATACCTATCAGGCTTTATTATTTCAAAAATGGTACGACATGGAGCTGGATTGCAAGATTAAAATGGCCTAAAGTAGCATAAAATTTGTACCTATTAAACTGTTCTCAAGAAGCACTTCCTTCCCGAGATTCACGAAGAATGTATTGGTTTTTCCATGTAGCATACAAATAATAATTAAACAACATACTACGGTACCAAATATCTCTACTTAAAGGATCCGAGACAGACAGATGAACAATGAAAATCAGATGGGACATTTAAGGTATTTCTGAAAACACTGTGCGTTACACGTATTTACTTCGTAAACGTTCAAACGTCAGTTGCGATTGCAGGCTCATTTTGATCCGATAGATCGTTCAAATAGTCTGCATATTATCATCTTTCTGTACAGCTGCGTGATTAATGGAATTTGAACAAGAGACATACGTCGTTCTAAGGTGTTGGAATCGCGTCTCGATTGCGACTGGTTGACCTCGATTATCATGGCGAAATTGCCCGATTGCGTTAAGCTATGAAGATTAATACAGCGTAAGTTTGTAGTAGCTTCAGGAGTGTCCTATGGGTCGTCCTGGCAGCTCGCGGCCTTAAAGTATGTAGGCATGACCAGTAGACCATGACCCTAGCAATCTTGTGTGCGTTGGCGGTTCTCTGGCACCTGGTTCCCTGCCGCTAGATGCACTTGCGCTCCCGCTGGGTGTACAGGTTGTGAGCAGGGCTGTCCAGTCATCCTCGTCTTTTTGACCCGTTGCGGTGCTGTTGGTTAAAATCAAGCGGTTGTCAAGCGTTTGTTGTGAACCAAGGGGTGTGGAGTGGAGCACTAAGGTGCGGGCTCGACCGTGTCATCCACCTGCGCTCCCCCGCCCCCGCCTCCGGCTTTCTTGACTGTCTTGACACCGAGTCCAGGTGGGGAGGAGGAAAGAGTGCGGTAAATATTGAGCAAGTATACTCTCACCATAAACTAGTTCTCGTGAAAGTCACCGTGCCTGTTTCACCTTGCTGTGGAGCACACGGTGGACATCGTTGAGTACGACGGTCGAACTGTCGGTAGCCCATTCAAGATGAAATTAAGCATGTAGCAAGGATCCATTGGGCCAGTTCCTCGCCGCATTTACGGTTGTTTAGGAAAACCTAAATGGAACGTTCGACAATAGTACGGCTTACCTCTACACATCCCAAAATACCTACTTTCTGTCGAGAACATGAAGCTAAGATTATCACTGCCAATCTGAATTAACCCCAGATCAACTAGCAAGGAAATCACTAGTGGGGGACCATAAAGAGAAGCCCTTCTGGCAAGCATCAAATGGGATTCATAATTACAAAATCCCCGCGGTATTATCAATGCTACTGCGTTAACCAACATACAGGTTAACCAGGTACGCACCTCAAGTCCGCCTCCAACTTAATAAGAAACCTCAACTTCAATCGCGATATGCTACTGATCGGCCATCACTTAACAAGTGGAGTAGCAATCATTCCAGGGTCAGACAGATTCCTTATCATTCCGCCCATAAGTCGAAAGCACTGCCGGTCTTGGGGCGGGCTAACTGGTGGGCACTGCGTTAGATGGCATGAGCATCAAGAGTCGAAAAAAAGTAAATCAGTGGTAAGTGGCCGTCCGCAGTGAGTACGGCCGTTTTCTTTTCATCTTACCACGGCGGTCGCTTGGGGAAAGAAAGGACGACGAATCAGACCGGCCATCGTTAGCCAGAGCAGCTTTGGATTCAGATAGGGCGGTCGGTTTTTAAAGCCAGGCGGTGTGCGAGCGAGAACGACGGCGGCAAAGAGTCGTGAAACGCCACGCCAGGCCGTCAGATCGCTCTCCTGAGGCTGGATCACCTCTGGGAGGGACTGAAGGAGACTTCCGTCGGCAAAAGAGGCGAGGAGGGGACAGGCGAGCGTGAGTCTCGACAAAAAATGTGGCTGGTGGGGGGACAGAGGGATTTCAAAAGCGGGAAGTTGGCGGAATGAACAACAAATTGGGAGGTATGAGAGGCTATTTTTTCTTAAACGGATAAGATAGTGTGCATAACCTAGGCAGTTGAGCCTAGACTGAACCTCCACCATCAAACACTTGTAAAAAAGGAGGAAAGCGCCTGGTGGAACACCGACCCTTTTGTTTATTTTACCAAATCCTCGAACCTGTGCAAGAGCACATGAGGCCCGATATCTCAGCGAACAATTTATGCAGAATGGCCACCCGAAGGCGTGTTTAACCCCACGCCTATGTTTTCGTCCGTAGAATCCAAAATGAAACACTATCTAGGATGCAGCAGATTTGGCACACACAGGAGGAGGACACCTGAGAGCATTGCTATGAACCAAGTGTTGCAATTATACGTCGAATCAGAGCAATCACGCGCAGCGGGATCACAAAAAACGTGCCGATTAAACCCTAGGAAACAGTCTGGTCTAGCGTATCGTATGACATGCTTAACCTACTCATGCAATCACAGAGGTCGGACCGACGACATGCCGGGCCTGTATGCACGAATGTGCGACGGGAAGACGAATCATCGTAAATGGCTGTCCACACATTCGGCGCGGGTCACGCGCCCCAATTCGCAGCCGCCAAGATAACTGACAATGCCGAGCATTGGTTGAAGTCAACTGGTAGCCCCGCTCGCACATTACCTGCCCGCACCAACGTAGCGGAGCGCGGCGGTTCCCGAGGACGTCGTAGCACGGATCGTAGTAATTGAATCAGACTGCTACGAGAATTCTTGGGTATCTTCAGTGAAGGCTGGAAGCAAACAGCCTATTGGATTGTTTGTTCAAGGCAGTCTTCCCTAGCGCTGCGGCTGAAGAATCTAAGCACAAGGCAGTCGTGGTAAACAAACGTACTTAATAGCAGTCCGCGGTTGACATATAACAGTGTCGTCATCGGATTTTACAATATTTTATAAGAAAATCCAGGTACCAAACCTCAGTCGTCACTGCTGGTCCGCGACGGGTTATTCCTCAGACTCGAGTGCTTGCTTATTTCTCAACAATGCTGCGCTGGAGGCCGTTCCCCTATCCGCCATCTGTGGACGCGACAGGTGACCAGCAACTAGGCCAGCAAGTGCACTCGCCCTTCCCTTAGCCATTTCTTCGTCCGTCCCACTCGGCTGACCATGGGAAACTAATATTCTAAGGTATGACCTGTCATTAATCAGAGAAGTTAGTGATCCGAAGAAGGACTCCACCTACGTTAAAATCATGACGCTGAGAATGTCCCTCGATGTCCGATAAGACTTCATTGCCCAGGCCTCGTTTCATGTCTAGGGGCAGCAATTCAAGTCGCGGTGAGACTAAAACCCCTATAAGTGTCATACTGCCTACATTGGGACAACTGTCAGTAACTTATGGATGACGAATCTGAGCAAGATGCAGCGGACAACGGCTAGAGGCTCTGCGAATACAGGAATGGACTAACGGAGTTATGTCATGGCCTATACGCTTATGAAGACCTGGTATGGAGAATAGGTGCGAAGTGAACCCACGGAATCTATGAAGGCAGAACACATGTGGCTTGAACAGAGCATTTGTAAAAAGAAGTTATACATTTCTTGGTATCGCGTTGATCATCTGCCGAAGAAGAAGTGAGGGCGAATTCATGGACCATATTGTATTCGAACTGACGTTTCGGAAACTTCCTCGTTTCCATCATCAGAGTAGCGTATTCTCCGCTCCTGCCGGCCTTGACTTGTTCAGTCTTGCCGCTTGCCTCGTATTATAGCCGTGCTCGACACACGAACTTTGACCTGCCTACTTGCCACCGAGTGGCTTAGACCTCCCCGGGGCTGACCGCGGACAGGCCTGTGTGACCTTTGTTCCCTGTGGGGTCGGCGTAATTGTAGTCATATCAACGTGCCGCTTGGTCTCTCCCGTCAGCCGGTGGACTGGTCGGTCATTGCTGTTCATGTGGGCAGCATTTCGCTTCGCGGGCGCATCAGTGAGACAGTGAGACTTCTTAGTATACATAATTCGCTCTGGAATAGGCAGTATACTGGGGAAATGACGACGTTGATTCTTTCACCTAACGATCTATTTCTAAGTCCTATATATGCACTTGCACAGGCCTGGCGGTGACTTTCTGAAAACGGTCTTTCGCGTGGATTAACTTATTCCGATCGACGACAATCAAAGGGGGCAGGTTTGTTTTGTCATACTGACAAACTTTTGTGATTCGTGTCGGGAAAATGTATGCCTACCACTTCGTCTGGATAGCAGCTGAGGAGTGTAGCTAGCACAGCCGCGAACGGCAGGGTGCTCTCCAGAGAATAGGCAAATTGGTGTTTCGCCTGAGCAATAGCCGCGGTGATAAGACAGTGCCAGGCGTAAGTTCGTCCATGTCCCCCGGGTAAAGCGTCCAGACAGAACCGATCACCGCCTTGAATAGTCGACCCTGGAGGTCGCACCGCTGCACCTTTTAAGAAGGTGAGCAAATAGTTCGTTCGGTTCAAGCAGTGTTCTGGATCGTTTCGTGTAATCTGAAAAAAATAAAAGTCAGCAGACAGTGCTGGGAATTAGTAGAAATTGAAAGCAATCCACAGAGATAGTATTACATTCGGGAAAGTACTTAGGAAAAGAAGTAGGGACCTACCTGACTACATGCCGAGCCAATGACAGTTTTTACAAGAGCGGTCGAAGTGCGATATTGAGGATCCGAGAGGAGAGAGAAAATGGCATTCTCGATGGCCTTCGTGACCCTTAAGGCTTGGGTTCTAGAGAACCCAGGTATGCAGACTGGCGGCTCTTCCACCGACGATTCGGACTCCTGTCAAAGAGACGCATACTTAGAAGGAGCGCGAAAACAAAGTAGACTTTCGAAGTAATCGAACGGCATTCAGTTGCGAACTCACAGAAGAAGACACCTGATCCATGTCCGAAGCGGTCTCTTCTAGAGGATCCCTGCTTTCGGCAAGAGCGACTGCCTGTCTGAGGTAGTGTTCGGCGTCAGCGATAAAACGGCCGAAAGGGGCATAAATGTTGTCATCAACCTGGGTGTAGTCGTCCCCATAAACTGATTTTGGCGGAAGTGTGAGAAAGACAATGGCGCGCGTCTCGAGACTTTCCACTTTTTGCATAAGGTCATACTTCAGTTCTAAAAATTACAAAAATTTGCTATCATGGATTCGTTTAAATAATATCACTAACAGTTAAGACGGATAACGGCCGTCAAGATCTGGTTATACACAAGAACAGGCTGGCTGTGATGCGTCGGAGTTGCTAATTACTACTGTCTGCTAGATTAGCTGCCGAGAAATGAATGACAATAACTGTCACAGGTAACGCGAAATACGAGGAAAAACAACAGCAAGAAGTGAGCACATACAATATGGATTGGAGCCAATAGACAGACAGGGATGACGGGTTTATCTATTAGCCTAGCTGCTGGCCCACCACCGCGTCCACAGATGGCGGATAGTGGAACGGCCCCCAGCGAAGCATAGTTGTGAAATAAGCAGGCACTCAGGTCTGACGAATAACCCATCGCGGACCAGCAGTGAAAATACAACTCGGACGTGGACGATTGAGGTCTGGTACGGTGACTGCCTCGTAAAACATTGCAAAATCCGATGACGGCAATGTGGTATGGTAGCCGTGAACCCTGATTATTGAGCCGTAGCGTTAGGGGAGACTGCCTCGAACAAACAGTCCAAGAGGTTGCTTGATACCAGTCTGCACTCAAGATACCCAAGAAACCATGTAACAATGTCTGATTAAATTATTGCGATCTATGCTACGACGTTCGCGGGAACCGACGCGCTCCGCTATCTCGGTGCGGTGGTGCGTGAAGACAGTATGCAAGCCGGACTACCCAGTCGGGAACCAACCTTTGGTGTTGGATGTTGGGAGGTGTGAAAGTCCTTCGACCCAGTGTCTAAAATTCGACTGTAGGCAGCCCTCATCAGTACAATGTGGATGTCTTCTACTTGTTCAAAGTGAATTCCCAAACTAGGCTCTCGGGAAATTAAGATCCCGGGAGCGTCTCCCACGCGACGATGTTTGCCGCGTGCCCCACGGAGTGGGCGCAACGCTGGCGAATTGCGCGAGAACTAGTTTCAAGTGAAGCGGACGTGCATAGCATCTACAGCACTTTCTCCTCCTTCACCCAGCTTTCTCCAGTGACAAGACAATATCGAAATTATTTGAGGTGAGCAATAATGCAGTGGGTGGTAAGGCTAAACAGCCTACCTATTCGTGTCAGGCACGACTTGGTTCTCACTGCATAACATAATTGAGGATGTCAGAACGGCCACGGTGAGGAGCCATTACAGCTTGACTGTCAGTCTTGAGAATGACCGAGTTATTCCGTCGGCTGATAGCCTTCCTTGTATTGACTGCTTGCCCTTCGAGATAGATTTAAGGTGCTGGTTTGCCGTGGAGAATGATTCCCCCAGTGTCAGTCTCATTTTCTTTCTTCTCTCATGCACAAGGATGCTATCTGGGCCGGTCAAACAACCGGCGGTGAGATTGGGCACAGTCCCCAACAAAGCTAAACAGCCCGTTCGCGCGTGCTACACACGACATGGTCCCACTTCATGTGTCAGGATACACTACAGGACATGCTCCGCACCCAGCTGGGATGCGCATGATCTGGTATACTACGCTTACCCCCCCCCTCTTGCCATCCCAATGATAGCAAATGGATTGTACTCCTGCTGCAAGAGAGAGACAGTGGATGTTTCGGTAGTATTGCGTGTGCAAGCGTCGTGGAGCAGTCTCATGTATATCCGGGGGGTGTATGTACAGGTAGAGCGGGGTGTGGTAATAGGATCTGGACTGCGGTTTTTTGCCAACGATTTTCACAGAGGTACATATATATGGCCGAATAGAACAATGTAGCGTCTAAATGTCCTGGGGCAGATGGGGCGGGATTGACGGGCGTATGTCGGGACTCCTCACGCTGGTTCGTCCGTTTCAGTGCGACGTGTGCGAAAGTGACCGACTGGGCCGATCTTCAATCGAAGTTGCGATCGAAACATGGACAGGCTGGAATTAAGTCCACATTGCCGGTGAAAGGGGCGATGATAGTGATGTTTGGCAGGACGGTAAGAGTATCCTCACCAGTGATACTAATGGTAGTGTTTCACGAGATGAGGCACGGTCTGGTCGTGTTGGCACTGTACAGGGTCGGCGGTGTTTAACGAGGCCGGTGCGATCCCCGTTGACAGTGCGGACACAATAGCAGGCGTCGAGTGCTTGCGCCACTGGTCCGTAAAAATGGAGTCTTCAGACTGCTCTTTGAAATTGGGTCTGACGTTCGACAAGGTTGTACTCTGTTCAACTGCATTATCGACCTGATTCTCAGAGGGGCCCTACACGATTTTTATGGTGTTAGACTGGCACATGGGGGCCGGCTGGCTGAACTAGACAACGAAGACGATACCGTCCTGCTAGCGTCTATGTTTGCTGACCTATAGGATGTGGTGTCGGGGTGAATGAATTCGCTAAATCAGTCGGTCTTTATACAAGGAATGGGAAGACCAAGTTGCTTCCGAACTGTATCCTTCACCAGGAGAAGGCGCCCCCTCCCGAATTATTGACTGTCAATTTGAGGAAGAGGACAGTTGCAAACCTCTCGGGGCGAGGGCTCTGCCGAATGGACAGGGCAAAACGACAAAGTCTCCCGGATTGATGCTACTCGCAGGGCTTTCACAATCCGTAGAACGGGCCTGTGGACCCGACGGGATAGATCCATCCAATAAGTCCTATGCGATTGCGAATGCTGGGCTATATGCAGGAACGACGGGCGAAGTCTAGAGGCACTTTAGCATCGCTGCCCGAGAACCAGCCTTCGCACGAAGTATACCTTCTTCGTCTCGAATGAGATATTCCGCACCCATTGTGACGACATCGCAAGAGTATCTCAGGCAAACCGACGGAAACGACTGGGGGGTTCAAGCACGTCCTTCGTCGTCGACCCCGTCAGATCATTGGTGTTTGACCTAACGCTAGTATGCACCTGTAGGCTTCGATGACATTGACTGAAATCCTGGCCAATACAATCTGTCAGGACTGGTAGGTGGTCAATAAACCTAAGGTGTTTAGTCTCCAATGCTGATGGAGAGAGCGGGCCTGGCTCGCCAGGATCGCCGCTGCAGATCGTCACGCGTGGAGAGGTACGACCTGTGACATCATCGAGGTAGGCCGGACTAGACATGATCATGGTCGTAAGAAGTATAAGCAAACACAGCGAAGCTGAGAGATGTAAATGCTTGTTGCACACTTTGTCTGGGAGGTTGTGCTCGTCTGTGCTAGCGGTGTGTAATCGGCAACGCCCAGTAAGTTAGAGGGAGATAAGACAACCAACGAGTTCAGCTGATGATTGTTTGTGGTGCTGACGTAAAAGCGTCTCCAACGTTCGTTTGTCATTGCCAGCATCTAATGTGTGCAGCCGACAAAGATAAGGTTGACAAAAATGACCATTAATATTCTAAATCGAGCCAATTGGTTATCTGGCGTGCGAATCAAAAAGTGCCATTTATCCCACAGGGCCACGTCTTGTTGAGTGCAAGCGACAGTGCCTAGAATCAAATAAGGGTGGTGTTCGCCGATTTACCCATAATGTAAGATGGAAATGGGTGTTTGTGTCCTGAAGATACAGGTTCGGATTGTTGTTGGCAAGATGTGGGTATCTGACTTAAGAAACAGTGCCTGACCGGAATGCTCAGAAAAAAGTTGGTCTGGGTTTGGACGTCAGACCTTCCCTAATTTTGATTGGGATATGACAGATTGATGATGATAAAAAGGGTAAAAACACTTACCCCAGTTTTCGTTGTATTTTCTGATAAAATTCGATTACTGATCATTCGTCTTTAAGCGACCGTTTGGAAGCACAAGGGTCTGCTTACAACCAATTCACAAAATCCGCGTCGAAGTAGCATAATATTTACCGAAATAATTAGTACAAACCTGTGCGGTGAAAGGTCATTCTGCCTGACGGTGCGCCATCAAGCTATGTCCCGAAGTATTTAATCGCGAAAGCTGGTGTTTCACAAGACTGTTCCCTCAGCAGGCCAGAAAAGGTATGCGACAAATTCGGTTCCGTGAGAAGCCCACCATGAAATGGCTCAGGTACGACTGAGGTTCATCACGGAATTTGAGTACGCCGACGACATCGCCCTGCACAGAAACTTAGGATAAGCACAATCTGTGACCGACCCTCTAGTTCTTGCCTCTAGCACTGCATAGAAATTGAAGCTTGGGAGACCAAAATGTTGATCGATGGCTTCATATCGCAAGACACTATCCTCTTTAGAAGAAGATGTAACCACTGGAGTAAGAAGTTTGTTGGTCTGGCGTTTCGGATCCTCACTCGAGCCCATCACGGAGGCGGGTGGGAGGGTGTTTTACCTATCTGTGTTTATCTGTGCTACGTTTAGTCAGTGTCGTGAGAAGATAATCCGCCGCATATAACTCTTCCGGACCACGTCCTGCTAATTCTGGAAGTGCCTATTATTTCGTAATCACGTGATCGACCATTACGAAGGGGAGCTTGTGAAACACACAATCTCCTCTACCCAAATTGGCGCCACCGCCGCGGCGAACGACCGAAGACTTTGGCGTGTGATCAATGGGGACCTTGAGAAAATGCTTGGATAGGTGGCGTTTGGTGTTCGAGAATGGAATCCCAACAATTTCTAAGGGTCTAATCGACAATTGCAGAACAGAGGTTACACTGATTCTTGATGTCGCGGACTCTGGAGTCCGTTAGATAGGCATTAATGCTAGCTGATCCAAGGTCGGATAAGGAATGAGAAGTGCTGGATCATTGCTGTTGATAAAGTGCCACTTGAATGGAGATAGTCCTAAGAACTGGGTCAGAAACTGTAACGTTACTGCCAGCAGGCTGACAAGAAGGCTGCTCAAGTGCACAGCAAACAATTCAGAACAGGTGCTATGACAATCGGAAATCAGTGGTTATTTAATGGCGATAACAGCAAATGACAGTCAAAAAGGACCCATGATGGAGCTAGGGTTTAAAAGGTGCAGTGGCAAATTGCTGGCAAAAAGTCGATTTTTGTCTAAAAGAAACTTTTAGAATTTCTAAGCGTCCTGTGGGGTGGAACGACTGTATAAAAGATCCCTTATACAACCAAACTACCAGCATGGTAAGAAAATGACAAATTTGAAGGCAGAACATCCAAAAATCCACAATGGTGCTAGAGTTATTAAATACGAAAGTTAAACATGCAAGATAACATTGTTAAACACTAACCAGTGCGTTGATCATTCGGCGGAATAGTACTGAGAATAGTAAACACCTGTTGTCTAAACGTGACTATGCGCTCTAACTGCGCGATAATATCGTCTCCCAACTCTACTTCATTAGAGTCTGCCCAAGTAGGAAAATGATCCTCCTCGTCTTCACTCCACACTGTTTCCTAAACATGAAATGATTTTTTAAGTACGGTCTGACTGGCATTGAAATATAATCGTCATCTTCGAAAGACTGCTGCGGTGATGGAGGTAACCGCGAAACAATTGTCTGCATCTCCTTCGAAATTCGAGCTAGGGTCCGGCAAATTTTCTTCGACACGACGACAGAAGTCGTCATGGCTCACGACGGGCTTCGATGTTTGAGTATGTTGAAAAGTAAGCCCAGATATAGAGCAAAACTCCAAAGTGCCAGTGCCCTTGCAGGGATTCGTCTGTTTTTCTTTTCCGCCCGAATTTCAGCCTAGTAAAATTAAACCAACATATTTTTACCGTCTACATGTACATTTCACCTTGTCTATTCCATCAGTTAGTTCCACAATTTTTATTTGGATCTTTATCCGTCAGTTATCATTACTTCACAATATCTTCCGGTTATCCTTTTTGGCGGACAAATTTGTCTCGTCTGTATCTTCGTTCTGCAGGACGAAGCTGTCAAGCATCATTTATTCGGCTAGCTCTTAGCTTGAGTCGACACGCCTTGGAATGAGCTCCAAGGCATAACTGAAAGAGCGCGCCCCGTGCACTAACCGGTGAATGCCCTTATATCTTAGTTAAGTTACCGAATCACAACTGAATGTACGACAGGCTCATGGCTCAGTGCTAGAGCGTAGGTTTATAATTCACTTTAAGCTAAGTCACATTAGCAAGATGATGAGGTTGTCGTCCTTGAGCTTCCCATTAATATTCAAAAAAGAATGGAATCAATCTTTTCTTCAGTACTTTTGGAAATTTAGAAGTCATCTGCACGTGTGAGTCCGGCGCAAACTGCCACCACCGGTACGGCAGTTTCTCAGCAACTGAGTATCTGGTTTGAATTTAAATCCTTTGACTTGAAAGACTACCGAGTCTGGAAGACCATTTTATGCTCTGGCGACCTTTTGCGAGAGGGCGTTTTGTCGGACGTCCATATGGACCAGCTTCCTCTTCAATTTGAATGGACGACCATGCAGACAATCCGTCCAGGTCAATTATAAGAAGTCAGCAAAGTCTAAAGCACACCAACGGCCTCTGCCAATCCGGTAGATTTGCATAAGGTCGCTGCACAGTTGACCGTAATTGAACGAAAACAGATTTAGTTTAGCAAGTCTGGTTTCATAAGGCAGATGACCAAGACTCTTGACCGTTTCGTAACCGTCGCCTGCATACTTTGCAGCTGTTGATGATTCTTTGTGGATAAAAATGGCCGAAATACAAAATGCTTACTTATATATAGGCAGTTCGTCAATTACTAAATACGCGATTACCTCATCGCTTGCAATATTACGCGAAAAGACAAGTAAATATCCAGTTATATGCCTTACAAGTCCTAGATGAACGTACTCACTACTGCCCATTACCGTTACTGCTGCCACATCCTTTACCCTAACAAAAGCGTTAGTGCGTCTGAGGTCAGATCCGACGTCAGTCGTTTAATAAACCTGAGAAGACTCGTCAAATGAATAAGTAGTGTGTGCGAACGTTCTACCCACATACGCAGAACATCCCGCACGACTGCCCCTCTTAATTTGAGAAGCTTCTAATAGAACCCTCGGAGCCTGTGTTTGATGCCACAGCCCTCATACTGGACTTTCTGTCAGAACAGAAAGCGTCGCTGTCGGTTGACGAGCTGTAGGAAGAGAACCACCCAACGACGATGACGATGAGTCGAACGGGCACACTTTCCTCATCTTATGGGCCGTTTGGCGTAATTGTTCACTTACCACACGACCAACAGGTCTCCCTAATATGTTCTTCAATAATTGCCCCACAAACAATTAACGGTACACAAGAAGTAGTGTACGGAGTCAAGCAGAAGGGGAGCGTCAAGAAAGATATTACGTGCGCGCAACAAAGTGGAATAGCAGGAAGAGGCATGCTAGAGCGCGCGCGAAACCGAACACATCGTCCGATCAATCTATCAATAGGCACTGGCGCACCTACTTTCGTCCTTGGTGTCGCGATCACCAGGAGAGCCGACAAACGATCGATTCTCCACAACGATTGAAGGATGACGCTGTAGTCCAGGACCTTCTTTCCTTGTTATTGGGATTACATCAATGAAGCTATCCGCATAGATGGGTAGCTGACGTTAACGTGCCTGCTAAACGACCGGTGTATAAGGCGGCGCCATGGGCAGCTGCACGGAAAGGTCATTGAAAGGGCCGACGTAGAGAACGGGGCGAGTGCCGCGACGCGTGTTGCGGGAAGGGAGTCAGTGATTAATTGGGAAAAGGGCACCGGATATTTTTACCGACAACGGTTACGCCATCACCATTCCAGATTCGCGACAAGAATTCAACTCATCCAAACAACCCGATCCAGTTCGTAGGACTTCACACCTACTAGCGTTGTGAACAGGCTGTTTTAACCTTTGTAGCTCTCAAGTCACATTAATACGAATGAACAATATCAGGAGTGGCCATTTTGCAACCGTCAATCATCCGGGGAAGAATCACGCGCCAGATTTCGTGGATTACGGGTGCGAAGGTTGCAATTCGTTGGGGGCGGTGATTTCGAGCAACTGTTGACTCCTGTGATGGAATTGAAGGTTTGGTTTGACGGCATGCCTCGCGTCGTCGGCAATGTTGTCGGAACAACAACTGCCGAGGAAGTGATTCGGGCACTTACAGAATCACTTAAACTTTCAGACGCATACTCCCTATTGGCTTATTGGAACGGCAACGAAATTCACTTGTCTCCTTCGGAAAAACCGCTTAGCTTTATTAACAGGTGAATTTTCAGCATGCCCACAGCCTTATAACTGACAAATTTGATGTGCAAATGAGATGTCCCTTTAGGCTAGCTGAGTGCTGTCTCATTATGGAATTGAGAGCTCCTTGCCAACGAGAGTTAATTTTCGCCCCAATTGGAACAGAAGGGCACTTAATGCGCCCATCTTCTGCAAACTATGCAAAGGTGGCCGATTGCGATAGTGTTTTCGAAGAGCTCATAACCAACACTTAACGGACTACTGACTTCTCACTGGCGGACAACGTAAAGCGTTTTCTGTTTACCACGGACTTGAGGTCGTGGTAACAATAGTTAACCTGAGGTCCGGTGAGATGTAGGCAAATTACCCTTGATTCTCCTATGGCCCTTTGAGGTCCAGTCGTTTTGGTGAGATCGAAATCCGTTTTCGGGACTTCGTGATGAACAACCGCTTTGCAAGCGGTTACATGCCTACTCAGCCTACTCCTAATTACTTGAATTTTCACACGAAGACGTGAAGTTCTTCGACCTTTTTGCATAGTGGACGTGACACAAAATCTACAGACCTACGTGTTTCTGACTAGAGTAGTTGAAGCATCGTATGGAACTTTTCACATTCTATCGGGCTTGTACATTATTCAACTGTTCCCTCAATCCGCAAAGTAGGTAGTGCCTCTGCCATGTCTTTAGTGAATCCCGATTGGTTTGTCTTCTGACATTTCTGAGGCTAGTAATGTCCTTTGTTTACAATAGTTTTCCTCACTATGACGTCTCCACAACGCGAAGCGTAATATTGCATCATAATTATAGAAGTCCTGCGGAACAATAGCTCGTGTACCCTTTCTAATTGTTTTGTTGCGACAAGTGTTCAATTTAGTACTCTGCATTGATGACCGAGGAGTTAATTCTACACACCTCATTCCAGCCGACGTGCCAATTGAAACTAAAATCCATCTAAGGTACAGTCACCTTTCTATCTAGGCGGTTATTCCAATAGTTTATTTAAGCTAATCTATAAAATGAGCTTGCTGTGCATGCGCATTTACCTGGTGGTTCGTGAAGTGCACTGAATGTGTTTAGGGACCACTGTGTTAGGACTGATGAGGATAATGCCATGATCCAGAAGTCGGCTATGTTTTCGACTAGGTTAGCCTTTTACGCCGTTTTGGATTGCCTTTGTGCTAGAGGTTGACATTGATGTTCACTGAGTCGGCCGCGCATACCGTTTTTCCGCGATTAGTTTTTGTTTGCATCCACTTCTCTGCTGTTAATCGCCCAGAAAGTTTGGCCTCTCAAGCTGAAGTCCAGTCAGTCCTGTGCGTTTGTAGATGCGGGGCTGCTTGTTTTGAAGACGAGCGCAAAGTGGTTATTAACAGCCTCTGCCTGAACTCGGTCGCATGATTGAGATATCTCGACTTTTACACGAATAAGACAATCCTCAATTTCTGTAAAAAAGTCAGGAGGATTTCAGGCAATTGAAAAAGACGACCGAGATGACCTAGCAAAGTTGTTTGCTGATCGCCTCATCTAGGTTCAGTACTGCTGTCTAGCCGAAGGCGTTGTAGAGGAAGTCAGCTCAGAATTGGAATCTATACAGACCGTCAAGACGTGGTGGTAATTCTTAAACCTGTCTTCGTCGCTGGACAGTTGTGTCGGAATGTCTAGATCTGACTTGACTGGTTGACAATCGAATCGAACAGTCACGTGAGGTCTTCGTCTGACTTCGTAAAGATCTCTGAAATTGGCGTAAGCCCAGTCAGGAAATTTAGTCGCGCTTTTACTAGGACTTTGGAAAGACGGAGATGCGATACTGTCTGCCTGCTTAGGAAATATTGTTATTTCTACGCAGCATTCCCCAAATTAGATTCTAGCAGGATCTCCGAAGAACATCTTTATAGTCTTCAAGGAAATGAATCCATCAACTGGGCCATGTTTATTCGCAGATTGAGGGGTTCTGGCCATGTATTGCGCCTCCCTGGAGGTGACATCGTCTGGGATGTTATCTTGCCCTACCTATGCACTGTCTGGCCGTGGCGTAGATGTGACCAACTGAAGATATGACGGGGCTCGAGAGAAAGAGAGAGCCCCAAGGCACAACGGACGAGTGAGTTCCGTAACGCGATCGTTAGGCGTCCCTTGACCGTAAAATCGATTCACCAAATCAAATACGTCTGCAAATATAAAGGCAGTTTCCACGGTGGATTGCCTGGGCCTGTGGCGTATCTCCAGTGTCCTCCGTAACACGGGGCTGTTCAGTTTCAGTCCATAAAATTTTGATGAAACCGCGAACTATTGGTGCGAATTTGGTGTTAACAGCCTCTTCCTAAATGTCGAGAAGGCTCTTCTTCGTCTTCTTCTGTAGTCATACAAAACCATATTGCCCTTGGTAAAAGGGGAAAGAACGGTATTAACAGATCTTGAAGAAGCGGTCACCCAATACCACAACTTGAGGAGGATAGTATAAGTACCAGACTAAGTGGCGTGGAAACCCAAACTTACCACATCCTGTGCGTTGTTTCTCATTTGCCACCAAGACCGGGATTTTATAGTTCCACGAGTCTCATGGGAGCTACAACTTCAGGCCTTTGTAAGCAAATGGACTTCAGTAACTTATCGGTGCCATTATCCCTGATGTTGCCAAGTACCGGTCTTTAGTCTTATCTTTTTTGCGGCCATGAGTGAAGTCACTATTGGCAAGTATGTGTACCGTAACAGTTGAACAGACAGGACAATCTGTGTCTCCCGCCAGCACCCAGTGCAATTTTTCCTCCATAGTGGGTTGCCGGATAAGTTAAGCGAAATGTCCCATCCCACCGCGGATGGGCTGTTTTTTGGACTGCTTTTTAGACTGTTTTTTTTTCGGCAGTGTGAATATATTTGTTGGTGTTCCAGTCCTTTCTACTTAACCTGATATGTTTAATCTGGATTTTGTATAGTTAGGGAGTTTTCTTAGAAGGCGTTACATTCGTTCTCAGTACTACTGGCCCCTGTTCCCTTGGCAGTTGTTTCAGAATGGTCTGGAGTTCCAGATGCCAGACGCTAAAACTGTTCTGGTTCATAGATCTCATTCCACTCTCGCACTCATGGACCACATGCATTTCGATACCCTTATTGGCAGAATTCGGCATTTGCTTCTCAGCCAGGCATGCAGTTGGTGCGGTCATCGCTGCTGCGCACTGAATGTCCACTTCTTTGAGTTCCCCAACGTTTTAGCATCCAATTTGCAGGTTTTTGCGGACGGGCCACCAATTATCATGCTCGACATTGCCCCCATCGATCATTATGCAAATGCAAGTATGGTTCTTCAGCTTTGCTGCTCAACTTGCCACCCCATCCACTTCACTAACGAGAGAATGAGGACTCTGTATGTATGTGAATCCGTTTGAATTCTTTCCCCAAGACCTACTCGGCTTCCAGGGGAGGACCTTCTCTACGGGGCCACGAATAATTATTATTTTGTAGTCGATACCACTAGCCCTATCCTGATTTGAGGCCGTTTGATAGGATTTCCGCACTCCAGATCGGCAGTCACCGAGAGACCGCTATATGGCTACTCATTTGTCCGGTTTTCAGCCACTTATTTCGCAACTTCTCCCCTCTATCAGAAAACGTTTCACTATTTTCACCTATAAATATACATGGTACCCCGCAGATGGTCCAACAAGCCATACCTTCCCAGTGTTGCTCCTTTCATGGCCTTGTATAACAGATTCTGATCACTTGTCCGAATTGTATACAGTTTGAATTCTAGGCGTTAACGAACAAAAACCAGCAGTTTACATTGAAGTGGAAAACAGGCCGCGAAAAGTTCTCTAGTGAGAAGGGACTGAGAAGAATTAAAAGCTGTCCCTGGGGACGTTGGAGGTCGTGGATGGGCGGTTAAAGACACTTCTGAGGGGTAGTCGTCCCACAGTGTCGTTCTGGACGACAAAAGAGGCACTATCGTCGCGTCGCTCTGCCTTTGATCGGCTGCTCCAGAAGTAAGTGTATCTGACACCCACCTCCTCCGGTTGACCTTGTTCGGTGAGGCGGGTCTCGGTGAGAGCAACGATTTCCACTTTGCAGCGCTCCAGTTCTTGGGCGACGAGTGCCGTCACCCGCTCCGTCCGATTGTTTTTCGGATTGCATATAGGAGGACGAACATCCCAGGCTACCAAAAGGAGCGGGCACACTCTAGCAGCCGGTGGGTTAGGGCGAAGAGGACGGGAACAGGGGTTGTTTTTGTTGCTGAGGTGTCCGGCCAAGCACATCAGTCTGCGCTTTCTCCGTCGGAAGCGTCGTTTCGTCGAAGCTGAGAGCGACGCGGTTCCACTGTGCCATCGTAGACCGCTTTGATTGAGACAAAGAAGTTCATTATTTCCTTGCGGTACGCATACCCTTGGGTTTACTTGGCCTTGTGGGCCATCCAGGCGTCCTGAACTTACCGGAGTCGTCGCTGCACACGTCGGCGACATTTAAGAAATCATTTATATGTTCGTCGGTCCGGCGGTCGATGTAAGCCTTGTGCAGTCTGCATTTTTCGGCAAGCAGGTTGCTAATACCTGCGCCAGTGTCGTCGAACCAGGCTTTGTGTTGATGACGTTCGCGGCCGAAGGCGTTCAAGACAGTGGACTGGACTGCATTCAGCAGTTGGCGCTACCGCGTCTCCACGGGAACGTTTTGATCTGCAGTTTGCAGATCATCCAGTCGTTGGGTCAGCTGATCACTGAAATCTAAGCAGTGAGGTGGCAAATTCAACGGAGCAGCATTTAACTTACTTGGCGGTCGCCTACCTTTTAGTCTCCCGCGGGGTCGCAGTCGGAGCCTCATTTTGGAGATAGCAAGGCGGGGATCCGTCTAGCCTCCAGCGTCGCAGATCGTCTTGGCTACCAGTAGTCCTGTCTATCGCGCCTCCGAATAGGGACGTCGTCCAGCAGCCGCCAGCGTCGCCATCAGAGGCGCATCCAAGTGGCCTTCTCCTGTGCCGGAGCGTAGAAGAAGGTGTGGGTCAGCAGGAGGTGGTGTTTTGTGTAGCTTCGCAGAAGGAGGCCGTCGCCGTTACTGCCGCCGATTCCATGGGGACGCAGCAATATCCTCCAGACAGCGTGCTCTCTCCCGATGCGCGCGTTGTCGTCGCTGGGGACAACCAGCTTGTTCGCCCGCGACACCATCGCCAGGAGGGCATGCAGGTCTTCGTAGGATTTGTTCTTCGCCTCTTTAGAGCTGCTCACTGGGGGGAGGGGGTGAAGGGGGGGACGTAGGCATTGATGACGATGGGGACTTTGGTTCCCCGAAGAGGACACGGGGAAATAGGGTGGGTAGTCGTCCCACGGTGTCGTTCTGGAAGACAAAAGAGACGCTATCGTCGCGTCGCTCTGCCTTTGATCGGCTGCTTCAGAAGTAATTGTAGCTGACACCCATTTCCTCCGGTCGACCTTGTTCGGTGAGGCGGGTCTCGGTGAGAGCAGCGATTTCCACTTTGCAGCCCTCCAGTTCTCGGGCGACGAGTGCCGTCCTCCGCTTCGTCCTGTTGTTTTTCGGATTGCATATAGGAGGACGAACATCCCTGGCTACCAGAAGGAGCGGGCTCACTCTAGCAGCCTGTGGGTTAGGACGGCGAGGACGGGAACAGGGGTTGTTTTTGTTCGTCTGGTTGTTTCGACCGCAAGTTTTGCATCTACGAGCCACGGTATACTTGCAGATGGCGGGACTTCCCAGCATTTGTTTAGGGTACATTTTCTAGTCCCTTCCCCCGCGAGGAGATAAGCAGTGCTACCCCTTGGCATAAAATAGCCTGTTGTTTATACCGGTTGTGACTGCAAGTTTACAAAATTCCTCATTATTTTAGAATGGATGTTGATTCCTGTTTTCAAATTTTACGCGATTTTCATCACTAGCAAGTATAGAAGAACTCGGAAGTTGTTGTGTTAAGTCCGCTTACGAAAGCCAAATCAGACAAGTTCGTCGCAAGCTGATCGCCTTTTAAATCCTGTGAATCACTACAAAAAGTCTCCTTTTCGGATTAAGAACGGTCTCTCTCAAGACGCAATCAAATACTTGTAAATTTCATTTTTTCTAAATTAAGATGTGACCCTTGAGAATCTTGTTTGGACGTTAGACGTTTCGAAAGTCGAAATCCTCATAGCAAGTTCAACATATAATAGAAAGGTTTTTTGTTTTTTTGTAACTCCAAACTTTCCATGCTTGATAGTACGCATTCCCCGTCCACTTATCTGTTTGCGTTGTGCCACTTTCCTCAAACACGCGCCTTCATTCTGAGGTAATTATCAGAACCTTATGCGGAACGCATTTCATTTTTTGAACGTCTTATAATATCGGCTTACAAACTATTTGTTTTAAGTCTACTCTCTTGAGTGGTGTTTGCTGTTGTCTGCTCTTATCGACGATTACTGCTTGTTTGCGCCCTAACAGGTTAGGTGATCACCCTAAGCAATTCGAATTCGTCCTCCGTCCCATGGAACTGTCCCCTAAAACGCCGAGCGATCTAAAGACTAGACCACGGACCCTGGATTACCCCGGAACTCCCGATTCATTTAGCCGCAAACCGTCGGCCAATTCGGTTACCTCGACACCGCCTCAATTCATTTCTTCGGGACATGTCGTCCGTCAGCCACCAACTGTCCCCAGCGAACAAGGTTTTACTTGATTTTGCCCCACTTTTTTCTCTGAGTCTGAAAGTTCTTCCTGTTGGTCTTAAGGGGGGGGGGAGTGACTGAAATACCAAAAACGTAGGGCAAAACGGTCTTGAGTTTGAGACCTTTTCCCTAGATAGATTTAAGCAATATCATGAAGGCAGAGAGTTGCGTCATTAGCATTGAATTCTACCTCGTATGAAAATGGTTTTATTAGTTGCATCGCTGGTGCTGCATTGATGTAGTGGTGTCGGATTTGGACCGACAAGAATTTGTCGTAACTAGTGTAGAGCAAACGGAAAACAGTAAGAAACAGCAGAACAGGATAAGGATCGGGTGAAGGACCCCAAGCATCAGTGGCATACAAAGAATACCTACTATACTTATTTTAGTGAGTTTTAGTCCGACGCATTTATTTCGGTCTGGTGTTTCATCGTGCGAGGTTGGGTCGTCTGTTGTAGACGGCCTGGCGCGTTATCTACAATGACCTCAGTTCAGAGAGTTGAGAGGCGAGCGTTGTAGACAGTCTGGTGGATTATCTACAATGACCTCAGCTCAGAGAGTTGAAAAGCGATCATTGTAGACACTTAATGTTTATTTTTTGATTGTCCTGCTTAATTTCGGTCGCTGTATGTCAATGCATTAACACTTTTCCCCCCGAAGACCGAATTTACCAATTATCTATACATATTGTGCCAATTCCTCTATGCATACATAGGCCCCGCCTGTAAAACTCATATTGCCATCTTTCCCGTAAGACAGGCACCTTTTGCTGGTCCTGTGTGTTTGGGGTCCATCGCCCGATCGTTGCCTCTTCAGCATTCTTCGAATTAAACAATGTAGCGAATAAGTCCTTAGATTTCGCTACTAGCAAGTGAACGATCAGTTTGCGAGAGGTCAGAAACCGTGCCCCTGAATATCTAGAGGCTTATACATACTTACAGTCATGACATGTTAAGATAGGTAGAAAATGGTAACGCGCACTATATCACTGATAGTCACTTTTATGCGCGTGCCGTTGTTGACTGAGAATTTTATGCCTATTTAAAATAGTCAGTAGTGTTAATTTTTCCCCTGCTCTAGCCCAGTTGCAAGATCAGCTGACCAAACAGGAACAGGAGCTGGATTTGAACCGCATAAAGCTGTCCCAACTTGATAACGGTAAATTCCTCTCTATTATCTGGCTCTGTCTGATCAACTCTCAGTTTTTTTTCTGGTTTTCTTACCACGCTATTTCGTTAATTAACCTTTTCGCGACGAGATTACCCTTCGAAATTACATTATCATAATAACGGCTGCTTGCCTCCTGGATTAGAAAATAAAATACTTAAAGGAATGCGGAAAAAGACAAGGGGGGACTGGAATGGCCATTTCTGGCTTACTAGCTGTCATCAGCCAGTCATGCCCAACCTCAGGTTTGAAGCACCTTCGATTCGAACCTGAGATCTTCGGTCACTGAGTCGAACGCTCTACCGCTGAGTCACTGCCCCATTATCCTGTCGGTTGGGATCGGAAATATTAATTCTTTTGAAATTGTGTTCATAGATTGGGTTACAGGACATTTTCACCCCGTTGTTTTTTAAGACTCAACCCAGAGCCCACTAAGGCAGTCGCATGGCGACCATGAACATATGTTTCCGCACCACGTGTTTGCGTAAATATTGATTGCAAACGGGGCTTTTTTACTGCCTTAGTTATAGCACACACACACACCTAGTTCTGCTAGTTGTTTTCTCATCTTCTGAAGGTTATACAACTACCGCAATTGTGGCCTGTTTCTCAACTTTGTTGAAATACCCTATAAATGTCTGGGTAGGGCTGCTTTGCCATTGCAGTCCACTGGCTGTGTTGCGGTACCATTTATCTTTTGATTGCTATTTTGTGCTTGTTTTAGGTTAGTCTGAGCATGTTACCATTGCTTTTAAAAGCAATATTTCTGTAGTTAAAGGTGATAAGTAACGACTCTTCACTCTATTCAGATGTAAACAAATCATATGAGTTATTAGCACCCGAGCACACAAGTCAGCATATCAGTGGGACGTTGGCTTGGTTTGGGCCGACCTACAACTGGTTGATCGCCGCGGGTCAGAATTCAGTCGCCGACTTCTCTCTCAGAGATATGTTCGAATAGTTTTGACTGAGCATACTGGCTTAGGAGATGCCGTTCTGAGACCCCATCAGAACGAGAACCCACTAAATATCATGCCTCCTTGCCCTAGCGCTTCCAGTGATGGCAATTTTTGCACTGAGACTCAGGCCTAGGTCCTTTCTTTTGCCTGTATCTTCTCCTTTAGCAGGATATCATTCCTGCTTTTGACGGTGGTGTAAGTGAGCTTTGCTTTTGGATAATAAAATTGATCATTTCAACGCCGTCGACTTTCCCCGCGTCCACCATCTCGGCAGTTCAAAGCCTGGTTAGAATGTAGCTGGCTGGACAACGGTTACATGGGACAGTGTGGTTGAGAAATTCTTTCCTGCATTTCCTGTGTTCGAAATGGAGGTCGCCATCCCCTCCTTCCTTCCAGCACTCAAGTCTATGGTTCCAAAATCGCGCCGGACGAAGGGTTGAGCCTTGATGACAGGTAGCATCCGCCATATCGTAATACTTACCTGACCTGTGACCCTATTGTAAGTAACCTATCTGCAAGCTCTGCCCCCTGCCACAAATGAAAGTATTAGCACGCCGTCGTTCGCGACTTCTTACTGGTCATACCTGGGAGCATTTACTTGGTTTGCAACAATTCCTACCCGAAAACCGTTCCTCCACCTGCCATCCGTTGGCACTCTGGATATTCTGCAAATTGGCAAACGAGCAGGTTCGCTCTTCCCAGTGAAGTACGTATGAAGGTCCTTTTCGGATCTTTCTAATTTATTCTCGAGTACTTTCGACTGGATGTTGTTTACTATACAGGTCGGTGAGATTTCTTAGTTTGCTAAACGTCGGAAGAAGGCTCCAGGTCTGAGCGAACGAACAATGGGAATCAGAAATCAGTTGCCGTATTTTGCCTCTAAGCTCTCCTCCTCCACTTTGTTATTTTCCTCGGGGTTCATAACTGACTCATATCTGTCTTACTACACCTCCTTTCTTAAGGAAATCCTAATTTCATCGATTTTTTTTATTATTAAACACATTCAACCCCTGCCATGCACGTCATTTTACCAGATGTAGTCACTTTCGCTACAGTCTTTTCTATAGGTTCCTACTGTAATGAGCTGCATTTTCTTAGTCGACCAGCTATTGGAACTGGAAGAGGATAGCCAATTAAGTAAGTAACTTCGGCGAACCGGATTGTCTACCCTGTTGCTAATTACGGTCACATAAATCTACATAGATGCATAGGAGTGACGTCCATCAGTCTATTTTGGTTTGAAAGGTTGGATGCGAATGTTTCGTTTTACTTCGGTCTGAACCCTTGATCAAAGTACCGACTTCCCCCTCCCCTATCCTGGGGTTGAGGTTTGGTCTGTTAATGACAACAAGTAAGCCCTAGGTGGTAATTCCGGGCCCCCTAGTTCTCTTCGGTAATATTTCCAGATTACTGATGCCTCTTATCATGCGACTGCCTGCGTAGGCTGTAGACCGGGGAGAAATAGCGAAACGAAGCATCTGTATTGCGTTTTGCAGTCACGGTAGATCGGTGCATATTGCCCCGGTGGGACTTCGATTACTCCCGGTCGCATCAGATGAGGCGTAAACTCGAGATTTAGTGATTGAACCGTTGGTTCTGCTCCCGATGACTAAAGAACTTCAGTTGGTTGACGATGGCAGGCAAACTGCAAATAGTACTTCCAATCCCTCTTGTATTCGTCGATAAACACTTATGAAATCCTCATAAGGTGCTTATTGACTATGTTTCTATCCGGCTTGAATTATGGTGTCATTCGAAAGTATACGACATTTCTTACCACTCTCCTCTGTCTGGAGGCTTTGCTTTGTCTGTTTCATATTTGAGCTTTCTGGGCTCTATGGAAATGATTGATATGGCTCTATATATCACGTTTACTGCGCAGACCACGCCAGTAACACCTGTGGAGAACTGTCTGAACTCTTGTAGAAGTTGCTCGGCTGGAGGCAATCAGTGCACTCACGGGAGGTAACAAGCGCGTTGGCAAGGCCAATGGCGGCCGACCGTCCAACGAGGACGACATCAAGGACGCGCCTATCGGTCCAGCTTTTGAACTCGCTCAACTTGCCGCTGTGGACTGGAACGGTCAGATGGAGGAGCAGAGCACGCGGCATCGCAAACTCCGCGCCGACCTAGCCGAATATCAGTCACGTCTGCAGAATCTGGACCAGACTCTATCAACAACCAGGTCTGCCAAAATTACTTCTCCAGTCATATGTTTTCATAGCAAAAGATGGTTATTTGTGAAAGTCGACGTTTTTATTTGTCCCTTTAAGAAATGACTGCAATAGTCTGATAATAGACAAAATGACACCCTCTGGCATCACTAAATAGTGAAGTCTGCTGATTTGGTCTGGTTGTAAGGCAGCTCAAAGGAATTGTGTTCTGCCTTAGAACTCTACTCAGGACCTCCCTCGCAAGTGGTTTAATGTTTAAGAGCAGTTCATAATAGAGAAGGATTGTTGAAAAGGCCGATGGAGATTAGAATGGTCGACATAGCTTAGGCCATTGGCTCAACCGATAGACCAACTGAATTCGAATTCCAACTCCTTTTCATTTCCAGGTTGGCACTGGGACCATGGTTAACTGGTGACAACAAAGAAACCGAAATTAACTATCGCACTACATCCTCTTATCGTTGTCATAAGGTTTCTCAATCCTCAGATATGTTTTTGACGTGCTCCTATGTGAGGTTTGTATTTTACTTTTCTCTTTAGCAACTGCCATTCCCACTTAAAAGTCAGGTAGCCTTCCAGTCAATGTGCGTCTCAATCATAGTTTCACGTCAGGAGCACTTCTGTTCCTCCATCTGACAACTCGGGTTTGGATAATAATGCAACGCTTTAGGGTAAGGGGATATCATACTAACAGCACAGGTACTAGCCAAAAGCCCATACGCGCGTTTCGCCTATATTCTGCCGCTGCATGACATAGCGGCAACGCCTGATGTAATTTGATCTCCATGCCCTGATAAGTCCGCACAGTCGGCGTCTCCCTTCCGGCGTTTTATTTCGTCAGAGTCTAGGTTTAAAAACACAGTCCTTCATTGTTGTGAACATTGGGCTGCATGCGAGGAAGATGATCGAAACCTTGAAATTCAGAATCGCAGTTGCCTGAAAGTTATTCATTGAATAAATTGCGCCGATCTCTCGGACGAGGGAGCTCGCAATCGTTGCAAAACCACTGCTAGGATATCGCAGGCTATCCGCCAAGGACGACTGAATTGGTTTAGAAGCGCTCCTCCCCATCCACCCAATAACTGTCGCTGTCCTGAATCGGATATCACCGCCCAAAGGGATGAGCTCGATCATGTTAGAATGTGGAGGTCGGTTGTGGACTTATGATATGCGGTCTTCATGGCTGCAGATTGTGCGTGGAAAGGCACATTGGAAGACCATTTAGGCTGACAAGATCCGTTATGCTCATTGATTCATCAAGACGAGTTCAAAAGTCGTCTTAGGAAATGTGGTTCGTCCATGGCGAGTGATTAGGACTACCTCTGTCCTGGGGAAGGTACAGCGATGAATTTGGCATATAGTAAGACGGACTTAGATGACGTCTACCTCGCTTCACCCTTCCCACACCCAGCTGTTCCGACGGCAGAAGAAGGTCAAGGCCGCCAGAAGTAGGCGCGGGAACAGTGACTGGCATGACCCGAAAGCCTTTGTCTGCGCGTGTCGCACGTATGTTGCTCTCTCATTCCACACAAACCAGTTTTCAAAGTAGAATCTCACTTCTCCCAAGGAGAGTCGCCATTATTAAAAACAGGAACATTACAGTCTGACTCGCCCCGAGTGGATCGACTCATCCCCATCGACCCTCCAAGCCACAGTCCCTGGTGTGTCGTGACATGTTAGAGTGCGTTTGATTACTTGCCGTGAGGAATTGATGCGCGTGATCCTGGTTAGGTTAACCTCGCTTGTTTTAGAACCACTTATACCATCGCAGCTGTCATGATCACCACCAGCAGTGTGCGTACCGTCAGACACTATCTTGCACAGGCCCGCAAACTGCTGCCCACTAGGCAGTTTAATAGGACACACTAAGTAGGATTTGATGTAAACCTAACTACGAAGAACAGTGTAGGATTGATAGTGGTTTCAGGAGGATGTTATGTGGCGGAGTTTTCTAATGGCCGCTGAGGACCATCGTGTTATCCCACCGTCGAAGTCGATTTTATAGGGGCTATTTGTATTGCTCGTGTTTTGCCTTGACTCCGTTTTCTGGTGGACGCTGCTATCCCGTTCTCTCTGTGTCAATGATTATGGTATCGTAAGTACCACCCAGTCGACCAAAGCAAGATGAACTGTTTGCCTGCCTAGTTACTTGTAGGACTATAAATATACGCTTGTCCAGCGCTTAAACCCTAGTTACGGAAGATGCATTTTTTGCCATGTCTGCTGTGTAAACCGGCTGTCGGCGATGAGTTTTTGAAGGACTGCTTCCATTTGCTCCTCCAGATCCAACGTAACCTGCCTGGAATCTGAGCTAGCTCAGGAGTTGACTAGGCTGTTGGACAGCTTGGACTCTGCCATTGCCCAGCGGCGTGACTTCCTTACATCCGCCATCGCTGCTGGTGGTGCGGGTAGCACGCAGACCTCTCTCACTACTACCACCATCACTACCTCCGCTCCAGCGTATGCATCCTCTCCGCCGTTGACGCTTCGCGATGGTCTGATGATCTAGTCATTTGGACCTCCAGCTTGCCCCCTTATTTTATCCCTCCTCCCTTTGGCTATATTTGATTTTATGTTTTCAGTCCCTGTTTCCCTGCTCCCATGTGCACTTCCTCCTCATCTTTTTGCATTTGCGACTTCAACTCACATAAATATCCTGCCGTTTGTTCGCCCGCCTCAACAAGGCCCACAATCCCTCCCCCGGGGTCAGTTATGGCATATGGGTTAAACATGCATAGCATAGGCCTCATCCTCTCCCCTCGTTCTCACCCATTGTCAGCCGTAAAACTCAGTCAAGACTACTAGGTTGGGCACATTAACTGATCAGGCGTTCCATCCACCTTTACGCATTTCACACTTGCTGGTTACTCTTCCAGCCGGTTCCGACTCTGCACTGCCTGCAAGTTTTGCAATCGAAGCTATGCTTGAAACGGGCCCCTGGCCTTCCTCCCAAAAGCCAGTTCTTTGCCCGACTGGATATACTCCAAGCAACAGTGGCCGGTAAATGAACATTGACAAAGCGAAGGGAGTCCAAGATGTCGATTCCGGGCCCACTAGTCATCGCCAGCCAGCCATATCCCAACCCTGATTTCAGATGGCCTGGAACTCGAACCCGGAATTTTTGACTACTGAAAGTTAGATCAGGCGCTCTACCATTGGGCTACGCGCCCGATGCCCTGCTGACTGTCCTGTCGAAAATATTACTTGCAGAATGGGACGTGCCCGTCCTGTTTTACTTCGTGTTACATCGTAAAGTCCTCACAGGCAGTCGCATTGCGACTAGCAATACGGAGTAAATACCCAGCAAGGGACGCTGGTGGGTGAATCGCGGTTGGGAAAGGTTTCGCGGGGTCGGCCCCACTTCCTCTCTGTGGTCGCATGTTACTGCGGGAAGGACATGTGTATTCGACTGCAGCCGATGATGTGTACAGTTACTGGCCAGGAATCTTGTCCCACATGCGCCACGTACCTGCCGGTTGCAGTCGACAAACGAAATGCCAGCCTCCTTGATAGCCCACGAGACTTGTTTTCGGGTCGTTTCTCGTATCTCAATAATCCGGAAGCGTGGGTTAAAGTAGCTACATGCGGCCTTTACGCTGATTGTTGAGGCAGCGTCCGTCCTATGATCGATCAACACTACGTACAGTCTAGGTGCAGTAATTTGCGCATGTCCAGTTAGCCGAGCTCGTTTTTATCAGACCTGGACCCAAGGTAGATTCACGATAGCTGAAGTCACAAAACTAGAGAAATAGTAGTTCTAGTGCCATCTGACCGGGCTGCTGGGACCGAAAGCAGCGGCCAGTAAACATTCGGGTCTGTTCAATTAAACACTGTAACGGCCTACTGCCGGGTGGGAGTCAGTTCTTTGCATAAGAGATGTAGCCCAGTTACCTATTAACATGGCTTTTCCGACGGCCGAGCCTGCTAGTTTTGAATTAAGTGACTCTAGAAGGTGGTGTAGTAGGTGGACTGCTGGTGTCAGTTTCTTGAGTGTTTTTTCCATATAGGATCATGCATAGCTGGAGGCAGTCAGCCTATGTGAGAGTTGCGAACGCGGTTTACAGTGATGTAGCACGGCTGTAGCCCTAGTAGCAGGCTATCCTTAGAGGGGATTTGACGCCGCGTTTGATACCAGGCGTGTGGAGACTGCGTCGTCTTCGAGGAAGACGGCGGGGGGAGAGGCGTGGTCAACCTAAATTGGGGACCCGGTAGTTGACTTGATGAAACGGACTTATGCATGTCAGCTTCGGACGCAGATATTTTTCGGTTTTGCCTCGACCGGGAGTCCGTACCGCATACACGGCTGCCTGGGGTTTTTGCGCATTTGCACAGGCTCTTGTGAAGAGCTGGATCATCTTGATCGGCATCTATCTGCTGGATTTATATATACTCCACTGTCTGGAAGCCTTCCGCCAAAGTCTTGGTTTACCCAACGAAACGTTCGAAGGTGGAGGTTTAAAACGTCAGTGAAACCGACGGTGTGTATCTACTAGTTTCACGAAGACCGCATCAGGTGGGATTTCTGATTAGCGATAAGGGTGACTTGACACCATTCTTTGGGGAGCCGTGTCCTCGTGCAAAACTTTTCTCGGAACTTCGGGGCCAATCCAACACAGGAACTCGAGGCATTCATCCTCAGTACAACTCAATTTATAGTACCTGGAGGTGGGCGTTCGTCCACTTTTCCCCTCCTTTCCAGGCTAAACGTCACCTGCTAGTTGTGCTGGCAAATACGTTCCTCCGCTCTGACACGAGGCCATGAGACCAGAGATGTGTAGGGGAACGGGAGTCATTAATTAGGCCGAACTGGTCAGACGCCTCGAAAAGTGGCAGCCTTCTGTCATTAGGTGACGTCATCTGCACAAGTTCCTAGATTGATCAAGTTTTGGAAGTGGCTCTGACTTCCAGTATGAGACATTGGCTCACGCTGGAAACCTGAGGGACCGGGTACCTGTTTCACCACTACAGTAGCTCGTTTACAACACGACAGTTAGGCACACGAAAGACCTCTCCCAGGTTGGGCTAACTTGTTACCACTCGTTCGGTTCTGTCCCAGCGAAGATCGAAAAGAAGGAACGAGTGAAGGCTCAACGCACTTGCAGCCATTGTGCAAACAAGAATGGCGTGGGCAAAGTGGATTGTTGTTCCAGTCCTCTGTAGTCTACCATAACCGAAAATCCTGATTTTGATGTTAATATTACTGTCGGTACCGCAAACATACCAATGAGTGTCAACGGACGAGAAACAACTCTCCACGTCTGCTGCTTTCGGAGGTTTTTTTCGTGATCTAGCGATGTGTTGAGAGCGAAGAGGATTATGATTACAGTGTAGTGTGTGCATGCATGGATTCACATACAACCCCCTGCACGAGACTTGTGCAATCCATCTGCCGTAAAATGATCACCGGCCTGTGTCTAACCCCGAGGGGAACCTCGCTGAGCGGACCATCTTTCGAAATGCGCGTAGAATTCCGTATTTGCCGCTGAAAGTTCACGTAGTTCGCGTTTGATATCCATCAGCCCATAGAACTGGCGTGGACTCTTAGAATATTGTTCCAACGTCGCACTTAAATTAATATACTTTTGACCAGGTCGAGCCGGAAAGTTTTCACGAGATTAATCCACTCTGTTACAGTGTGAGAACTATCCGACACTGATGCCACCGAAGCGGCTTTCCGAAAAGCTATTTCCCATGAGTCAAAAAGCACTTTCTAGACCCACCAATTTAAATTAGGTTAAAATAGATTGGTGCGAATGTAATACAGCTTGTCTGTTCTCGATTCTTATGCGGTACGGCTTTAGTGACCGCTAAATTGAGTTGCTCATGGCGTTGGTGTTAGGTAGGTGATTGACTGATTTAGCGACCGGTGTCCGAATGCGACTTTTTTGACAAGACGCAGACTGAAAAGCTTATCACTGACCCTTTCCAGGCCAAGTGCAATTTTTGACAGCAATCGTTTTTTATTTGACTTAGCCATTCTCCTGGAGTTTTTGACCGTTTCTACACTAAAGAAACGTTTTGTTACGCCTTTGTTGTCTGTCGCCGTTCGTTTATTTATTTAAATAGATCACCTTCCTTTTAGTGCCAGCAAACGCCAAGCAAAATTGCCTCTAAGCACCGTAGTAGGATAAAAGTGCCTCAAACCCAGTCGAACTGACGATCGCCGCCAAACCGCCTCTACGTGTGAAACTGCAAGTTGAGCTTCGCCAGGTATCACTTTTTGACTTTCTGGACCATGAAAGCCTTGCTTGTGGCTCCAGCAACTTGAAATGGTGGCCACTTTACTGAGGAAACAAGGAACCCTCATTATGTTTAATCCGCTAAAATTTAACCCGACGTTAATGCGAAATGTACACAAACTGGTAAACTAGGGGCTGTAACGTGACACATGCGACTTTCACATCGAAATCCCCTATGTCTTTGAAGTTCCGCGAATTGAATGCGATTCGCGCATGCAAAACGATGCTACTCCGTGTTAACCACTTTTTATAAAGGTCATCGGTCTGGATGAGGACATACATATGGAAGGGTTGCAGGACGGTACCCACCGATTATGTCACTGCCCACAGGAATGTCCAGATTTGACAGTGTTCCCACAACAGTGCTCCCGCCAAACCAAAAGGAGGACCAGATCTGCTAATGGCGCGCGTTAATCCGACCGCGCGGAGTCCGCACTGGCCTAAAACAAATGTCACACAGCGGGGGGGTATGGTGGCACGCCAAGGCGCGGGCCCACAACGCACAGGCCACTTAACGGGACGCAGACATACGAACTGATCACTGACCCTCCCCAGGCCGCTTGTGGTTCTGAGTGCATGACGGCCAATCGGGAACATCAAGGTTTACCGTTCGGGACATCCTCCTCCAAAAGCTATGACAGCTGCTCGAGGAGTAAAAGCCCCAATTTTGGGCACGTCACGTTGAAAACATCCTTGCTAATATCGACTGCGACAGCACTTATTATTATAAGGGTCGACCGGATTCAACTGTCCTCGGCCTACAGTTCACGATAAAAGAGGAAACGGAAGAACCAAACGACCAACCGAACGGCTAACTGACGACCACAATTAGCCGGAAATCGACCAACATGCTGCAGCTACTCAGCTGCGACAGCAATTAGGAGTTCAACCCTTGCCAACGATTATGTCTGCCGTGCGCTATGCGACGTGGTTGGCGCAGGATGACGACCTGCGCAGGAACTAGTTTATAGTGATGGTGGACTTTCGCAGCACTTGCCACACTCCCTTCTCCCACACTCACCCGGACCCGGTGGCAAGAGCAAGTCAGGATGACTAAAGGTGGACTTGGACACAGCGGCTGATAATACTCAACGGCCCGTCAACGCGTGCTACACATGACCTAGTCTGCACATAATGGACCAGGTTTTCGCAAAAGCAGGCGGCTGACTCGGATTCTATCTGAGTGAGGGTGCAATAGAGGCCACAGGACGAGGGAGCTATTGCAGCCTGATTCCCCATCCTGAGGGCGCAGAGTCACCCAGAAAGTTGG